GCTCTAGGGATTCAAACACAGAAAAAGCAAACATAGAAGTATCATGCACAATGAAAGCATAATCAGGCATACTATCAGCAGTTCTCCTAATAGCCCTTCTACCCCTATCTCTAGCAAGTTGATAATCATGCAAATTATCACTACTAGGCTCCACATGCAACTCATGCAAATTATTGTTGTCATGAAAATCAGATTCAGCACCCATGCCATGCAAATCATGCTCAGTATCATGCAAATGCTCCACCTCACTCGAGGTGGTGGGACTATCATGCTCAGAGGAATCATAATCATGCATAACAATATCATCAGTAATAACAGGATCAACAGATAAAGGACTAGCAGCAACAGGGACAAACTCCACCTCACTAGGAGTACTATCAGACCTAGACTCAGGATTAGAAATAGACTCGGTCAAGCAAGGAAAATCAGTTTCATTAAACACCACATTTCTGCTAAGGACCACCTTAAAGCCTACCTGGTTCCTATCCCATAACCTGTAACCCTTTACCCCCTCTGGATAACCTAGGAAGACACATTTCTTAGACCTAGGATCCAACTTGTCACCCTGTTGATGTGCATACGCTGCACAACCAAACACCCGAAGGTTAGACAGATCAAGAGGCTTACCGGTAAAGACGGCTTCAGGACACTTACCACCAAGAGGGACAGACGGGGACCTATTAACCAAATAGGCAGCAGTAGTAACTGCTTCACCCCAGAATTTCTTAGGCAAACCAGAGGTAGCTAACATGCTTCTAACCTTATCCAACAGAGACCTATTCATTCTCTCTGCTATCCCATTCTGTTGGGGAGTATAAGGCACAGTTTTGTGCCTTTTTATCCCACAATCCACACACAGCTTATCCATCTCCTTATTACAGAACTCTAACCCGTTATCGGTCCTAAGGGTTTTAACCTTCCTGCCACTTTGGTTTTCAACTAGGGTTTTCCACTCCCTAAACTTCACAAACACATCAGACTTGTGTTCTAAAAGGCAAACCCACACCTTCCTAGAGAAATCATCAATAATAGAAAGGAAATATTTCTTACCCCCGTGGGTAGGAACACTGGCAGGACCCCAAACATCGGCATGAACATATTCAAGCACATACGGACACTTAGACAGATTAGGGTAAGAGGAAGGAGGGAAGCTGACTCTATGCTGCTTGCCTAACACACATGATTCACAGAAAGGCACAGAAGTCACAGAGTCCTTACCAAAATAACCAGCCCTACGCATGACATCTAAACCCTTATTGCTCATATGTCCTAGCCTATTATGCCACAAAGAGGTCTTATCAGAACATACAACATTCACAGACTCAGTAAAAGGTTTAGCATGACACACATAAAGGTTATTCACCTTCTCAGCTTTAAACAACACAAGAGAATTTTTCAAGATTTTCATGCAACCATTCCCCCATTTTCCCTGTAAACCACTACTCTCCAAAGCAGCAACAGATAACAAGTTATGACACAAATCAGGGACATGCCTCACATTCTTAATGGTAAACACAGAGCCACAAGAAAACTTCAGACATATATCACCCACACCAAGCACATTGCATCTCTTATTATCAGCTAAGGAAATATAGCCACTATCACATAATTCATATGTAGAAAACAAATCTCTAAAGGGGGACATGTGATAGGTACAACCAGAGTCAATCAACCATTCATGCTCAGACAGGGAATTACGCACAGAATTAACATGGTCACAAACCATCAAAATATCACCAAGGTCACATTTATCAACAGCTACACTAGCATGCTCGGTCTTCTTAGGTTTAGGTCAATCCTTAATGAAATGGTCAGCGTTACCACAATTGTAACACACTCTCTTCCTAGATTTGCTCCTCTTTCTCCCAGGCTGACTAGTGTTCTTACTTTGACTATTTTGCTTAGAGTTCTTAGACCTACCCTTAGATCTACCTCTAACAAACATAGCCTCACCGGAGTCTCTGGACTGACTAGCACTACCCCTAGCATGCTTCAGGTCTAATTCCTTACTCCTTAACCCATTAAGAACAATATCTAACGAAATCTTCTAACATACTTAATAGCGGACTTAACATCATTATAAGAGTCGGGATTGGCATTAAGTAATACTATGGGAGTATAATCGTCTATGTGTTTATCACCTGCCTGTTTGATATTCTGTATCAGTTTATTAAACACATCCAGGTTCTCATCTATATCCTTAGTCAGGTCAAGCCTAAACCTAAAGAATTTCTCAAGTAAAAACAACTTCCCAGGCAAAGAGGTATCAGTATAGAGACTATCCAATTTCTCCCACAATTCCTTAGCGGACTCAAGAATACCCACTTTCCTAAGCACAGAATCAGACAGATTCAAGTAAATAGTAGAACAAGCAGTTTCGTTCATTTCAATTTGTTTAGCCTTATCTTCCGATTCAAGGAAAATACCAGTGACAGCTCTAAAAACTTTTTGTTGTATTAAAACACACTTAATTTTCTGTTTCCAAATATCAAAATCTGTTTTTCCATTAAATGGAAGCATACCATACTGATTAGCAGCCATGGTATCAACCACAAAACAACACAAAGCTAAACAGACAAATTTGACAGAAAATAATCCAACCCGGGCTATAAAGTATACACTTTAATAACCCCGGGCAGCATGCAACAAATAGCAAATATGGACATTTTGGCACATAAAACAACTCCGGGCAGCAGTTAACATTAATTATTTCTACCCTAACACCCAATAAACCACCTCTACGCACAAGAATTGAAATTAACAACACTATGCAATTCAATTTAAACAACTAAACAATCTGCCACAAAGGAGAGGGTTTAGCAAACGCACCTGGGGGGTTGGCGACCGGGATACAATCTACCGGCGGCCCGCGGGGAGGGGGAATAAAATTAAATCCGGAGGCACCCGGTGCACCTAGGGTGTTTATAGCCAATTTACCTTAGCGAAACCCTAGGAGAGGGTTTCGACCTTACCTACCCAATTTAAAAAAATTGGGATTTTTCTGACTGTTGACCGGCGTTGACCGGCGTTGACCGGCGGTCCAGCTGCTCCAGCAACTCCAGCAGTCCAGCAGGTCAGTCCAGCGGCCCAACAGCACAGGTCCAGTAGCTTGGCAGCCCAAATCCAGCAGGTCAGCAGCCCAGCTCCGTCCCTCTGCCTTCTGCGACTAGAGCTACGAACGGTGGTCCAGGCCTTCTGCGAATGACGAACACCCAGACGACGATGGCTGCGGCAACGACGGCTCCGGTGACGATTTCCAGGCGGACGGATGACAGGGCTTCAACTCCCAGCTCTAGCGATGTGCGCAGGTTCAGGCCAACAACCAGATCCAGCTTCGCAGCAACGGTGGCCTGCAGCGACGATGGTAGGCGGCAGCTCCAGCTACGAACAAATCGGCGAGCAACTCCCTGCGGCGGCGAGCTCCAACCTGGCATACGGCGGACGGCGGCGGCGGCAGACGGCGGTTCTGTCTCTGATACCACTGTTAGGATCTTATCCGTCTCCGGCTCAGGTCTATTCCACTATAATCACATACACCACACTAGGAGGAGGCTATAGCATCCACTCTCAACTCTCCACTAAGACCTTTCTACTCTCTTCTTCTCATGGCATATAAGATCCTGACATATATATATATAAAGCACAGTTTTTGTAAAGAATTTATTTGACTGACTTCTCGATTGAATTTTTAGCGGAAATTTAGTATTGATAAACTAGACTTGATGAGAAACATGCATGCTCATAAAATTTCATCAAAAACTTCCACTGGGAAGGATCCCAAATGACCTCGGCCTGACGAAGGTTCCCGTCAGGCCGACCTGATATGATATGTCCTCTTATTTTAGATGTTCTTTTTTAAAATCTCCAATTAAGTACTCCCTTCGTCCCATTGAACTTTGTCAACCTTCCTTTTTTGGTTGTCCCAAAAAAGTTTGTCACTTTCCTATTAAAACAATTAATACGTGTTTCTGCACATTTCTCTCTCCTCTACCTAACACATTTCAACCGATTTTCTTGAGTTAAAACCCTAACATCACGCCAACGTGTCCTTAGTCTCCTTAGTGAGCTAGTGTGCTCCATAAATCTTTTAGGTAAGCTTTCCTACATTCATATGGTATTGTAAGCAAATCAATTAACTCTGAAAATTGGCCTAAATATTCTTCGTGCAGAAGGCTCACAGCTTTAGTGATTATCTTCCATTCTTGCCTAGGCTTGCACTTGGTTCTAATTTCTCAGCTGTTGTGAAAAAGAAGTCGAAGAAAGGTGGACCAGATGGCCTGATTTCCAATACGCTTCCATTCCATGAATCATTTTTTTCAATCTTTACTTTTTCCTTTTTCTTTTGTATTATAAGTATACACTCTTTGGATAAATGCCTAACATGTCTATCTTCTCTCATTCTTTTGAGTGGCGTATGAATGAAAAGAATGCTTATTTGCTTCTTATTGGCTGCATATTCTGATTGATTAGAGATTCTACCAACATTCCTTATACCAATGTTGATTTGCTAGGTTTGATTTGGTTCCCAAATCGAATTTTGAATGGGTATGAATACGGTTAGGGCTAGGTTTGATTTGGGAACCAAATCGAAATGGGAAAACCAAAATTGACCTAAAAGTTTGGTTTTTATAATCCTCAAAACCGAATTGAATATTATAACTACTATCAAGTGTGATGTAGAAATGTGAGCAAACTTGATATTAAACCGGCTTCTTAAGTGACAAGCAAAAAGATTACAGTTTTGCTACTTATGTTCACTTTTATACTCACTCTTATATGATTATACCCATCAATGTCTGTAAATCTCGTTCACTGACAAAACAAGATATTAACTCTGAGGACAAAACAAGAAACTTATACCCACTCTTATTATTCTCTTTCAAAATTTCCCCCCTATGCTTTAAAATTCTAAACACAAGACATTCTTTACAGAAAAATTTGAGGGCATATTAGGAAAATAAAACTCATTTTAAAAACTTTAGTTCATTCACTTCATCTATGTTGGAACCAAAGCAGCATGTTTTATAAGTATCAATGGAGTAAGAGGGGTCTCCTTAATAGTGGCAGTTATTGGAATGTGACCAAACAAAGTATCATAAATATTACAAAATCTATACACAAAACATTTTCCAAATCAAAAGACCAACGTATCCCCCATCATGGTATCTTTTTGATTTCACTCTATCTATTTAACCACAATATCTTGGAGAAGAAAAGAAATCTAAACAATCGTATATGGATCTCTGAAATGGTAGACCCGGAATGCAATTGCTCCTCACATCAAGAACCCCACTAGCAATCAGGCCCATACAAACAGGCCCAATCATACTGAAATAATTGTCCGCCAAACACAAACTCGTTAAATTCCCAAGCCCACAAACCTCCTCCGGCACGTTCCCGTACATCAGGTTCCCAGCGAAACTCAAAACCTCAGCCTTCTCCAGCTGCCCGAACGAGAAAGGTAACGGTCCGGTCAACCGGTTGCTCCTCGCGTCAATGACCAAAATGTCCTCCGAAAACCCGATCTCATAAGGGAGGCACCCACTGAACGTGTTATTAAGGAGCAAAACCTCGGAAGCCCCCGACAATGCCGCCGAGATGCTGCCCGGGATCTGACCGGAGAACTTGTTGTTGGCTAAGGACAGGTAGTGATATCGGGCAGCATAAAAGTCGGGCAGCCCGTCGGTAAACTCGTTGTTGTTAAGGAACAAGGCGTCGAGCTCCATGGTGAAAAGCTCCGGCGGGACAGAGCCGGAGAAAGAATTGAAACGAAGGTCCAAGAAAGACAGAGTCTTCACGGCAAGAATCGAAACGGGAAACTCCCCGGAGAAATTATTGTTACTAATATCAAGCTCATAAAGGTAGGGCAAATTGGCGGCAATATCTGAAGAAATGTTCCCTGAGAAATGATTGGAGTTTGCGTGGAAGATGGCCACGTCTGGTAGCTGATCAAGAAATCCATGGAGGCTCGGGGCTCTGAGATGGAAGCCGTTGAAGTCAACGGAGGCAAGAGCGATGGCTGACTTATTGTCAGGTGGGCTTTCGCAGAAGAAGCCCTTGTAGTTGCAGACATTTGGGCCGACCCAAGTTTTGGTGACACCTAACGGGTCAGAGGTGATGGTTTTCTTGAATTTCTGGATGACAGGATAAACTTTGGCTATTCTCGGATCTGCAAAAACCAGGTGATGATTCTTGGGAGGTGTTTTAAGGCTGGATTTGCTTCCACCGCCGGCGCCGGCGCCGGTGCCATTACATCCACAGCCACTTGCTGTTTTGATGGAGAAGAGCACGAGAAGGGTGAGAACCAAAAGGTGGAAACTTTTTGTGAGAATAATACAGATATTGATACAAACCATCTCGCTTAGCTCCGGCCAATATATGGTGGAAACTTGGGTTGATTGTTTCCCGGGAGTTGAAGGAGAAAGATTTGAAATGCATGTTCACAGATATGGAAGATTGCTACTGTATGTATATTTCAAGGGGTGGGCTAAAATTCAACAATCCAGCCGTTTACTATTGGATGCTTGAGAAGTGTAGGCATTGCATTAAAAGGAGGAAGAAGAAGTTGATGGGTATTGGAATGTTATTAAGAAGAACCGGGTATTAATTAATTACAACCCCATAGCATTAGCTGTAGCTTTAATAAAGAAGAAGGAGTGAGGAAGAGTAGTACCGGAGCTGTACTCTTGGCATTTAACAATATAATGGTCTTATTAGCTGGACACATCATCAATGAATGAATTAATAACAACAAGATTTATTTCTTGATATCTTTGAAACGGGCAAATGATTAATATCTTACGTTTTGGGGGGTAAGAATTAGCTCCTTGATTCAAGCTGAATGAAATGAAATCCAACCATGCATTTTGTTGTGACTATACTCGGCTAGACAATGAACTGAGTGTTGCATGGGAAAGATCAACTCACAGTACTCCAAAACTGACATTAGGGGTGAGGACGGGATGGGACGGGAATTAGACTATCCCGGTACCGAACCCTATTTAGGATAACGGAACAGAACGGGACGGGACAAGACATTGTCCTGCTATTGTCCCTTTTAAATCGGTACCGGAACAGAACGGGATGGTTCTGGACATCCCAAAAAATTTGCAGCGAAAATAAATACAACTCCAAAATAAACTTCATGACAAAAAACTACAACACTAAAAATGCAACATATAAAAATTTTTACGATAAATGCAACACAAAAAATAGTAGATTAATAAGATAGTTGCACGAAACAAACTGTAACAACAACAATAATTCCATCACACACAATACTACTAAGAAACTGCAAAGATAAAAAAAGACAAACAATATTATTATAAGTGAAAAATGTGGAGTATATGTGAGTTTCCTTTTAGCATGTAGAAGATAGTTCATATACTTGATAATTTAGACCTCTTTAGGTGTTTATATATTAGATAACTAATTAATATTCATTAGTATTTGGGGGAAAAGACTCCAATAGGAGTAAAACATGAGCTTGGTATACAGATAAGACCTCCTACTTTTTTAACCCTAAATAGGACTTATTTGCATCTGGACGGACAAAAATAACCCCAACCCCCTCACTCAATCGCGATCCACCGACTTCGCAGAACACCGAGAGCTTCAGGCGTCTTCAGCCCATTCCAATGGCTGTCGAAGCTCGGATAATCTTCAACAAAAAGCTCCAATCGATTTTCTTCATCAATTTCAGAGACTCATTCGTCGAAGCTCGGATTAAATTGACGACGCTCAAAGACTCATTCGTCGAAATTAATATCAGGCTACAATGTCATTCAAACCAATTCCGAACGATTTCCGGCGAAATTCCGATCAATTTAGTTTCTTTCAACATATCTTCTGCGTAAAAACATACCTTTCTCCTTTTTCAGTTTCTTTATGTACTGCTACAGTGCTACGTCAAAACATGTTAAAATGGTGAAATAATGACACTATGTATGTCACTATACTTTAAATATTATCAAAATAAAGTGAAAATCATCAGAATGTCTTAACAATGTAAATGTCTTAACAATGTCAATGTTGTAGCAATGTCAATAAAAAACAATGTCAATGATAATGTTATAAGAATGTCAATGACAATGTCATAAGAATGTTGATAAAAAACAATGTCAATGACAATGTCATAAGAATGTCAATGACAATGTCATAAGAATGTCAATAAAAACAATGTCAATGACAATGACATAAGAATGTCAATGACAATGTCATAAGAATGTCAATGAAAATGTCATACGAATGTCAATGACAATAAAATACATTCCTTATTTCTTTGCTTTCAGTTTGTTCGTATGTACAGAGCACTATCAAATAGTTTGACAATATTGATATCATTTATCAATTCTAAAAACAATGTCACAATTTTGAAATGAATCCACCTGGTAGGAAAATCGGTCCCAGAAACTGAAAGAGAAGAAGAGAAGGAGAAAAAGAAGAAGATGAGGGGGAGGAAGAATAAGAAGAAGGAGGAGGAGGAGGAGAGGAGAAGAGAGAACGCAGGTTACGCAGAAAGGCCTTCAGCCGCACCGCCGCACCTCCACACCGCCGCACAAAAAATACTACCGCACCGCTGCAACACCATTTTAGCTCAGCAGCTCCATTATTTTGACGGTGCTCTGCCTTGCTTAGCTATGGAGGATGGAGAGAGATGATTAGGCGAGGCTATTGCCGAGAGATAGCTGTGGTGCGTTAGGAAAAGGCCAGACGGGAAAACAGGGGCAATTTTGGAAACACGGAAAAATTTGATCTTATTTAGGAGTTAAAAAAGTCAAGGTCTTATTTAATTACATACGGGAAGTTAAGCTCCTATTTAGCACCATTTCTCTAGTATTTGAATTGATGATAGACTCACTAACCCACAACTATATACAATTTTGAATTCGGGACAACGGGACGGAACGGGACATATTTTATTTATGCCGGTCCCATTTTGTTTTGAAACGGTTCAGGACCGGAACGGGACAATTTCGGAACGGAATCGGAACGTTCCGGAACGGATCAACGGGACCGAGTCTTTTGCCCACCCCTAACTGACACTAATGTTTTTAATGAAATTTGATTAAAGTTTTAAGTAGAACAAATAAATACAAATTTAAACCTTTTAAATCCATTTGAGCCACCCTTTTAACATCTCCATTAGATGACCCTTTCTGCCGTTAAACAACACAGCCTCAAACACAAAGTTCATGTGGATCAACTGACACGCCGCCAGCAAGCTCTCCTGGGAACCGCGACCCAACTCTTTTGCGCATACCGGTATGGTGTCCATGGATTTGTTTCAGTTTCTTCTGGATTAGCTTCTGATTTCTTAGTCGTTATCTACCTCTAAGTTCAGGTTTGACCTTGGTTAAGGATGAAAGGATGGTTTAAGGTCGGAAAAGCAAGGAAATTGGAGATACGGTTCGTAGATCTATTGTTCACGTTCGATGTGCATTTGGACTCAGGTCCTTATTTCAGACGAGTGTTACCGGAGTTGGTGAGTGGTTTGGGAGTCCCCATATCCGCGCGCAGCTACCCAGTCGTTCATTGGGTGTGTCGGAGTCGGTTAGCCGGAATACCGCTTTTGGGGATTGAGCGGTTTGCTGCTCATCTGCGATTTCATTTTCCAGGTTTTCTTCTTGTGTACTTCTCCGTTCCTGTTTGTAAGGGTGGTTTGGAAATAGCCACACTAAGACGAGCTTCCCCTACTCCGGTTTGGGCAAACGACTCCTTCCTAGTTTAGGCAACTTGATCTACGAAACCTGCTATGGTGAGAAAAAAACAAAGCTCAGGGGAGGCGTTTACGGCAAGTGTCGTTTGCTGCACTTGCATTGGGAGAAAAAGAGTCGACCTGTTCTGACTTCTGATGGGAGGACTGGAATAAAATAACGGAGCAGTTACAAATGTGGCTGAAATGGAATAAAAAAGTTTAAATTTGTGTTTATTTGGTCTCCTTAAAACTTTAACATCCAATCTGAACTTCATTAAAAACCTTATTAGTGTCATTTTGAACCTTTTCCCAAAAATGTATACTACCTCCAGCCTGGGTAACGGTCCCAGTTGAGTTTACGATATTTGACAGGTCATAAACTTAAGTGATCCTTGTTAATAATAAAGTTATTTTTAGTAAATAAAATTACATATTCAAAAATTACATTAAAAGTCTTGTAAAGTTGCAAAAAACTCAAATTTGATAAAAATTGGATATATAAAGAAATAGGTTAAGAAAAAATTACATTAATTTCCATCTAATTTTTTATTTCATTAATTAAATATATTTTAAATACGGAGTATAATATTTCTATAATTTAGCAGAATTAAAAATTAATCAGTTCAGTCAGAATTTCATAATTTCAACAGTTTTAACCGATTATGTCAATTGCAATGTTACTTAACGGGGTCTTATGAATAAGTACTACTTCACTTGACTTCCATGGATGCCATTTATTAGAGAATGAGCTTTCATGTGTGTTTTTAAGGGGATCAACAAACCGATTCGGTTTGAGTAAACCAAATTGTACCAAATTGACTGAAATCAAATCATGTGCAATTTCGTTTGAATTTAGTGGTATGTCTTTCAAATCAAATTAAATCAAACTAAAACAAATTGAGACTGTAAGAAATCGAATAAGGTTGAGCTGAACTCAAATAGCCAATAAATTCTTAATATGTTTTTGAACAACAAATCCAAACTGAAACGAACTGAATTAATACGAACTAAACCAAAACATAGTATGATTCCAATATGTTTCAAACCGATTCGAATTGATATTAAAACCTTTTTAATGTGCGGCGTAAGTAATAGTTTTTTTGGAATAATTTTTTGGTAGAATATGAACGATCCAGATTCCGTATTATTTGTCACTTGAGAGAAAATATTATCGAGAAATCAAACGAAATTCATTATGAAGGGGGGAGATGGAGGATAATTGTTGTTTCTCGCGGGGTTGATATGGCTGAGTTAATGAATAAAGTTTATACCGCTACATCCATCAATCGTATGAACAAGTTGAACTTGAAAGTTAATTAAATATCCCATTCATGGTGGATCATACATGTTGATGCCTCTAGCAGACGATGAAGCCGTTACGGGAATGTTGACTTTACTCATTGCTATGCCTAACATGGAGACATATGTTGAAGAAGTGACTGTGTTGCCTGATAACCCGCCATTATCTTGCCCATCCACAAGTGTTCTAGTTGTTATGAATATGGTTATACAGGAGGATGGATGATACATGAACAATGATGAAACCGATGTGCTCACCCTAGTATCTTTTTAATATAAATTTGTTACTCAATGAGTTTTATTTTATAAGAGAAATAATTCTTTTTAGACTAAAAAATACGTTTTTTAAAATTGAAAAACCTAATCTTTTACTTTTCTATTTTATTCTTTTATCTTCATTTTTCTCCACTTAATTTTTGTAAATTCGGACTACTTTTTCATACCCATTGAATCTCTAAATTGTAAAGATGAGGTATTAATTACAAATCTGAATAGTTTTTTAGAATTGTAATTGGATTCAAGTAATTATGGACGTTGATAATGGACACCTTAATTTGTTCAAATTTTATGTGTATTTACCCTTGTGATCGCATACATGTAGTATGACAATATATATGGTCCATAAAACGCATATCTTCATTATAATTCGAGTAAATTTAACGTTGGTAAAAAATTGTTCATCGCAAAAAGTCAATTTTCTTGTAGTGGATTGAATTGTATGCCTGTTTTGATTATACTAGATTTTTGACCTGTGCGTTGCACGAGATGGAAA